CTGGGAAATGCTGGGAATGTGGAGTCAGGGACTGGCAGCCCAGCCAGCCAGGCTCGCAGCTGACTGAGGGAGACTCGCTGAGGGACAGAGAGAAGGACAGGAGCACACAAGGCTCCCCCGACTGCAGCAGGTTCCCTCTCTTCCTCCCCGCGGAGGTGTTCGGCTGCTCTGGCTCTCCCTGCTGCCTCCTTCCTCCGCGCCACTGAGATGTCAGCTAAGCGTGATGTTGTAAAATCCACGCGAGGACGAAAGGCAGATGCAATCATTTGAAAGGTGAGAAGCTTAAATAAGAATATGGCTGTAATACATGGCTGCAAATTTATTGTGATTGAGGAAATGGCTATATATTGCTTTCTGCAGCTGTCTGGTAGCTGAAACTGGACATGAATTTGCAGAACAGGCTTTTTATATTGCTTTAGAAATACATTGCAATAAATGGGACCAAGTGCACATCTTATTCTGGTAACAGAGTGCCTCTCCCTACAGAATCGTCAACCAGAAACCTCTCTTGCAATTTCTATTAAAAGCAGCCATAGGAGCCTCATTTTTTGTGTCCAGTGTTTAAAAATATTATTGTTGTTGTTGAAGTTTTCTAGAATAGAATTGATGAGCCTTGGAAATTCCTAGCGTTATACCTAAATACTGGATAATGTTTGGTGTTTTGAAAATCGTGTCAGGAAAAATGTGAGATTTCTGTTCCTTTCAAGTGGCTGGCAAATGGAAACCAGAAACTAACATGGTATTACTGTGCAGTTATATAAATAATTAATACTTACTGGGGTCTCTCAGTTTGTGTGGGTGTTTTTTTTTTTTTTTTTTTTTAAGCGATCCTTTTAGGTTGGACAAGAGTGATGCATGTGATAAAATCCATGCATACATTCATCAAGGATACACGTATGTTTTTCTGAGAGCACTACAGTAGTAATGTGATGAAGAAGGAATATATATACATTTTTTTTGTTATTAGTGTGTGATTTGATTTCTAGGTGGCTACCTGCTAAGCCTTGTGATGGATGGATGGGAATCTACTCCCTTAGCGGCGAATTGCTTTTTCCTTTTTGATGGACACACCAACCAACCACTTGCATTAGCAGTTACAAGCTCGTTGCAAATAAGCACAGCCAGTAAGTGCAGTCGAGAGGAGGGCAAAACCTACTTGTCAGGGTTAGTTTTCTGCTTGGCTTTTTAAATCAGTGGTTTCACTTAACTATTTGTTTGTTTGGGATTTGTTTTTATTTCCGATTTCCGTGCCCCCGCGCCCCAGGTGCATGTTCAGGGCGGCCAGCTCGTACGCAAGCCCTCCCCGGCAGCTCCGCCGAGAGCAGGCCCTTCTCCGGCTCCCTCCTTCTTCGAAAGGCGGGGGATGGGGGCAGGTGTGCTTTCCCCCCCCCGCCAGCTCCCTGGCCGCCCTGCTGTGAGGGAAGATGCTGTGGAGATCCGTTACCGCCCCCCTTCCGCCTCGGGAAAGCGCAGAACTCCACAGCGTGGGTTCAGCCGCTTCCCAGGGCGCGGGGACAGACCTCCTGCGGCCCCACGGTCGGCCGTTTTCCAGTCCCAGGAGCAGGGGGCACTTGGGACTGTCCTCCCAGCCTCACTTCTCGTCAGCGAGGGGTGAGCGAGCCCGACCGCCTTCCCGGCCCAGCTCCTCCCGCAGACGGCTGTGTTGAAGCAGCGCGTCCACACCCCACCTGCATCCCTACAGGGACCCCCAAGGCAAACCCTCTGCAAGGGGCATTTCCTGGAATTCTCCTAACAGAAAGGACATACACTCCCCCCGCCCCACTACTGCTGTCGCTGCTCGAGCGAAGGGCACCCTCTATCTACCTCGGCGTGGGCCGTGCCAGCCGCCCGCGAAAAGGAGGAAAGCGGGCAGGCACGGGTGTCTCTGGCACTCGCTGCGCGC